AGTAAATTCGCAAAAACGTGCGTTGCACTGTCCACACTTGAAATGATGCTGCGTCCGTGAGTCCGATGTGACATGGTGCAACCTGTACCAGCTGGCAGAAATGATGCAGTACCTTGCTGATGCTCAGTAGGGAATGAGGGAATTCCCCTGTTCCCTCATTCCCTACTGAGCACGGGCAAGGTACCATTGACACAAAGGACTTTGTTCTACCGTTCAGCTAAGGACATGTTCGGAGCTGCATACGTGTCGGCCTCTGAGGCCCCAGCAGAAGACTCAGAAGAGGAGCTGGCACCAGGTTTGCAGGGCACCCTTTTCCCCAAATCCGTGTTCCTCTGCAGCTTTGTCTGATAATCGATATGCATGCAACCAGAACTTGGAGGGAACGGAGAAGTGTTCAAAGAAAATGAAGGCAAAGCTGCCCCCGCCCACCCTCTTAGTCTGCACTGTTGCCCGCCGAGAGAAACTTCATGTTGACAAGAAGGACTTCTTTTGTGGCGACCGGCAAAAGCAATATGACTCGGCGGCCCACGGATTCGGCAGCTACGATGCGGCCACACAAACCTTGTTGGGCCCGGCATCCACGCAGCCCTCAGCCCTGATTCAAATGCTAGTCAAAAGTAGTACACAACAATCTACATGCAACGTGATTATATATAATATGTGTATGTACTTTTGTATATATAGATATATACATGTATATCATATCTGCATGCGTATCATATGTATATCATGTATAATATATATATATATGTGAACATGGGTCAAAATCCCGCCCCCCCCCCTTGTGAACATCCCAATCCAACTACCCCAAAATGGGATCCCATTAGTTCTGACCCACCTCCATATTCTCGTTTTCCGGAACAACAGGGGGTTGCGCGTTTTTGCAACGGTCCCAGGGCGTTAAAAACCTGGGGTTGTTCTGAGGCAACGTGCCGAAAGCTGCAGCCAGTTGCGTCAAGGACCGGCGACTCACTCGGCACTCGGCGACTTCTGCGCGCCTGGAGGCCTTCCGGCGGCGCCTGGCTGTGGTTGGAGGGTCGGGGGGGGTTGGGGGGGTGGGAGCTTTGGGAGGGGTTGGGAGGGGTTGGGAGGGGTTGGGAGGGGTTGGGAGGGGTTGGGAGGGGTTGGGAGGGGTTGGGAGGGGTTGGGAGGGGTTGGGGGGAGGTTGGGGGGAGGTTGGAGGGGTTAGGGGGGTTAGGGGTTGGGGGGGTTAAGGGGGTTGGGGGGAGGTTGGATTGGGCTTGACGTTTCAGGGCTGGAGGCTTGGGCGAAGAAAGCCTGCAAGTGGTCACTCGAGAAAAACCCCCTTCGGGAAGCTCCGGCAACGTGGAAAAAGCACCGGAAAAAAGCTCAGCGAGCTTCTCTCCCGCCTCGTGCTCTTTCTTCTGGAACCTCTTCGATCACCTGACTTCCGGCAACCGAAGCTGGACTCTTATCATCACGACCCCATCCCATGTGAGTATGTATCGAAACTGGACAAATCCTTGGAGCCTTTTTTGATTCCAGTTGAAACCAACATGAGTAATATGCCAATCATGCGAGTCGCAGCTTGTTTGACATACCCAGTGACCAAATGCATCTGGAGCGCGGTCACGATCCTTCTTGTCCTTGCTTCTGCTTCCTCAGATTCGGGGCACTGCGATGTAGTCAGAACTTAGTGCCTCTCTTGACTCTGGACTCTTAAAATGCCAAAAGATGCTCCGTCATTTGAAATATCCAAACCATATACACCACCGTCGGTGCATTGCTAAAAAGAATCCGAGCTTCCAGCTGTGCATAAGTACAGCAAATCTCGGCCACGTCACAAACAAGATGATAGTCTTTCTTCATCATCAAAAGTAGAAACATGTCTCGGAGTTGGCGATCAATGCTTCCTAAGCCCAACTTTCGTCTCATCTCTCAAATCCAATCGCAAAGACAAACCAAATGTTGATCCAACACACAGGACCCAACTCGTGTGAGTTTGTAGGAACCTCGCAACGCATCAAACCGGAGAAGTGTTTCCATTGGGCTTCTCAAAGGGGTCCCTAGGGTTTGACCCATGGGCTGAACTCCAATCGGGAACCCTTTGGCGGACGTTTAGGCGGGGATTCAACAACCGGCTCCAACTCTGAAAAATCCTGGCCGCATTTGCAGCATCAGCCTGACAGCTGTCTGCGGCCCGAACGGCTCTTCCGCTTTCGGCTGGGACTCTTTGCCTTCTTCTCCTTGCCTGACCAGGGGTCATGAGCAACACATCATGTGTACTTCTTCTTCCCTTCTTTCTTTTTGGGGGGGGGTCTTTGGAGAAGGCAAAACAACAGCGAAGGTCCGAAACATGTTGAGGCCAACTCAAAACGAATTCCAAGCACTCGGAAACCGTTCGTTAGAATCCGTTTAGGGTCCCCTATTTGCCTAGAGCCGGTCAAGTATCGCTGATCGCAGCTGTATATTGAGCAGGACCTCAGACTTCACCGGATTCTGTTGATTATTCGCAAGTCGCGTGGCCCGTGCTCGCTAGCGTGCAGGCAGCTGCATGTCCCTCCCTCCAGCGCCTGCTTTGGCCGCCTTCTCAGGTTTCTCCTCTGGCGCTGGCGGCGCTGGCGGCGCTGGCGGCGCTGGCGGCGCTGGCGGCGCTGGCGCCGGCGGCGCTGGCGCTTCCTCCTTGCCATTGGGCCTTGCACAACCATGACTCTCTCCCAGAGCATCCAACTGCCGGCTGTACTGCCAGCCCCTTGCTTGTTGTTTGCTTTCAAAGGGGAAAACATGCCCACGAAGGGATGGTGGAATAGCCCTCCCATAGCTCGAATCTGGGGCACCCTGCTCGCTGGGGGGCACGGCTGCTTCTGGCTCTTTGGCAGCCTGGCAACACAAAGCCGATAAGCGCCGACTGCGGTGGGATTTTTAATTGGGGACCCTTTGGTGGACATCACTTGGGTGGGGATTTCTGTCCACCAACAACTTGTGAGACGATTCCCGATTCAAGCTCATAGCTACATGTGGGATGGCACAGGCGCACCCCTGTCATGTCACCGGATTCGCCTCTTTTGGCAGCACAGCCTATCTACACAAGCATATTGAACCTGTGTGTAGCCCCTCCCTTCCATATGAGACATAGCCAATATTCATTGCTTCCCCAACTGGCATGGGTTCACGGTGAGCTCATGGTATGTTGGGGTGTATGTGTGTGTGTGTGTGTCTTTGTGTGTGTGCGTGTGCGAGTCCTGCTTCGTCTCCTTTGCTTCGGCACTGTAAAAAAACAAAAAACAAAAATGCGCTATCATGTTCAATCAAGAGAAGCTTCACCAATTACTGCCATCCTCAGGTTCTGTGTGTGCGTGGTGGGGGGGGCGGAGAACATCTTCAAACGTCGGATCCGATCAGCAACGAGCCTAGGGCAAAAAAATGAATCCACAACTTGACTTGCGCCCATCAGCACAAAAATTTCGAAGTGTTCAGGTCTCTTCCCTATGGAAACAGGCTTCAGGAGCAACCACAACGGCAGCTTCAAAAGTCGGATTCAAGAATAGTTCTTGGAACTCGAGGTGGTTCGCATCTCTTGCCAACAAAGGAGTTGCCCCAAAGGCCGGTCACACTCATCAACATATATTTGTCTTTTTTGAGGGAGATATAGAGATAGAAACATTAAAATGTAGGAAATTAATGTGGATAGTAAGGAATCATATACTAGAACTTCATCAAGTCATTAATCGTCAAATAGAGATAGCTTAACAATAAACAGTAAAGTCAAAATCAAAAAAAACTAAGACAAGCTAGCTATATTATTTGATTACTTCCGGAGCGGTCACTCACCATTCACTCGCTTCCTTCATTCCACCTCGCCTTCGTCCAACTCCAAGAGATGACGGAGCGAGCGAGTGTTAGCGAGTGATAGCCAGAAAAGTCGCCCCAATTAACTATGACAAATGCATGCTGGGACGGGGAAAGAATGAGAGATAGCGATTCACCGCTCCTTCCTTTCGTCCCTCGCTCCCCTTCCTTCCTCTCTTTATATACCGCTCGCAAACGACAGTAGAAGGGAAGAGATGCGATGAAGAGAAACGAATGGGCTCTCTCATTCATTTCTGAATCTCATGTCCGTTCCGTTATCTCAGCGTGAACGGGGAGCTGAGAGGAATTCCAGAGTCTCTGTACCGTGTAAATCCCAGGAGCTCTATAACTCCCTCCATCCTTTCGTTCCGTCCCTATATAGATCCTAAGGTAGAGATGCAGCGGGAGAGATGCATCCCACCTCCATTCCATCTCTGGCTCGCCTATTTGATGATGAGGCGAAGGAAAGGAAGGTGAATCTCTCATTTCCTTCCTCACCTTTGAACTCTAAACTGTGGGCGAGAGAGAAGGGAATGGGCTCTCTCTGTCCTCTCTCCATCCTGTCAGGCCCAACTGTACCAAGTGAAAGGAGAACAATGAAAGGGACAGACCGTAAGGAAGAAAGAGATGGATGACTGAGAGACCCTTCATTCGTGAGTCATCGCTCATTCATAAGAACCTTGTTTTGGTCGTTTTAGAGGGCAAACAAAGGAAAACGATCTTGCTGATTTTGGAGGGCAACCAAAGGAAAACTACCTTTTTGGGGCAGTCCCCAAAGAAAACAAGACGCAACCATAGTGTCAGAAACTCCGCTTGACCCACCCATCCTCCGGCTTCTCCTTCTCAGCGGGCGTACCTTAGAACGAAAGCTGAGGGTCGCAGCTATTTCTCAGGCTTGCCGAAACCAGAATGCCATGGGTGCAACGATACGGATTCTCCAGTTTCCATAGAGTAAACCTCCTCAGCGAATCAAGGAGAGAGGAAAGGGAATCACACTCCTCCCTCCTAGTCAGAAAACATGGACAGGCGCGCTCTTGCTAGCCCGCATCTGGGGGATGGGACCATGCCAACTTCGTTGTCCATGTTCTATAAACCTAAAGCAGCCGTGTTTCCGCTGGGGCTGGCATCAACCTCTCTCTCTCTCTCTTCTTGTCTGAGACGGCAGCTCTTTTCAGACTTTTCAGTGACCTTCAGCCCTCCAGCCTCCTGCGGTTTGGCAGGTGACGGTGTCAGGCCACAAAACAGACGAACAGCCATACACAACTCGTCGCTTGCCCAGCAGGAACAACCCCCTTTCGCATGGTTGTGCACGTTGGGTGACCTTTCTAGGAGCCTCTTGTGTAGACCTGGACCACTTGACGCAAATGCAAGGTCGCGGCACACCCAGCATGTTCCACGCTCAAGTGGCGGATTCATTCCATCAGTCTCCAGGTACTGCTTTCTTTGTCACATAGCAAGCCTCCGGCAGGTTCAACAAGGCTCCATGGGATCTGAGCTCCTCCGCCAACTGATCGGCAGTTGAGATGAGGTCCAGGAAGTAGATCCTCTCCTCAGCACATCGCGCGAAAAGGTTGGGGCCGCGCAGTTGTTCCCCTTGAACAGCGGTCTCGGCGAAAATTCAGCAAGACCCGAACTCATTGACCATGTTTGTCCTTGTGCTAAGACATGAGTGCAACCTAAGGTGTTGACAGACACGGAAACGCCAGAAGTGTAAAGAGCATGATACGACCCTTCCGTCCGCACGGGCAAATCCAGCCGTATCTCCCCTCGATGCTTGAAACTCTGAGGCTGGCAAAGGCTTCGCCCCACCCCCCGGGGCCCGACCCACCCAAATGGGAGACCGAAAACACGCAGTGTTTTCGGAGATTTCCCTGTGCTTTCCCTTGAAACCAACCCCAAAAGTTACCAGGTGTACCCTCAAAGAACAGAGGAGCCACGCCCACATCTGCGCAAATTCTGGCACTTCCGAGCCCTGAACGGATCGCCCCAGGCTAAAGGTGCTGGACTGGCCGGGCGCCGTGCTCTCAGAACCCAGAACCCCGCATACGGAGGAGACGGGGTCCCAAGCCATGAAGTTTCAGCTTGAAATCCAGTCATGGTGCCGAGTTTTTGTTCTTTTTCTCTGGGTCAAAGCTTTACACTGATTCTGAGGGCTGAGGCTTGCTGGCGCCAAATCAAACTTGAGCATGCACTTGCTGGTGCGACAAGCAGGCCATGAGGGAATGAACCTGAAAATCCACACCCCTTAAACAACCACCATTGGGACGGTTTCTCTTGGGGTCAATCCATTTCTCAATCCCCAGCAATATCAAGCCCCGGCAAGCGATCCTCTTTTCCTCTCTCCGCCTGCCAGGTGAGCTTCTTGCGGCCGTCGCCCGGCTGGAACAGGACCGAGCCTCGAGAAACCCGGCGCGGCGCGTTTCTCGCGCGATCGCGCGATCTCGCGATCTCGGGATCTCGGGACGCGTGGGTTCGATGTTTGGCCAGGTGCATGTAATTGCAGGCATGCTTGTGTGTGTGTGTGTGTCTCTGTGTGCTATCTGCCCCAAAAGTGGGATCTTCAAGAATCAACACTGTAAGTTGTGCCCATCTGGCTTGGTGCTGATGGTTTTGGATGCTGATAATGGAGCGGATGGGCGTTGTGGCTTGGCACTTTCAAAGGCGTGTTGCCTCGCGGATTCGTGTGGCGGATTCGGCTTACATGCTCGCTCTGATGGCTTGACGCTTCGGCTCCTTGCTTTGGCTCTTTGGCGGTTGAGCTTTTTTTTTCCGCTTCTCGAAATAGGAATCGGTCCCCTAAAATGGGTGCCCTGTTGATTTCCCCTTAGATACACCTCCAATCGAGGCTTTTTGTCCACCATTTCCAGAAACTCCCATTGGGTGACTGCCTGGCTGGAAAAATACAGCTGTGAGGTAAGCAAAACCGCTCTGTCACGCGTCGCTCAGACCGGATCAGGTCAATAGAAGTCTTAAGCTGATCTGTTTGTGCCAGGTGGCGGAGTTCCGCCTTCTCCATCTGGTCCAGCCTGAGTCGGGTGCTTCCCATATTGCAAACGAAGTTAAGCGGACGTCTGTCAAAGTTATCACATTGCTTGGACAGAGGGTGTGTGTGTGTGCCAGAGGTTTGCCCATGGCGGTTAGGCGAGGAATTGAGGAGATTTCTCTCAAAATCCACTAAACCTTCTCTTTCTCTCAACAAATTTGGGGGAAGCGAAGGATGCAGATACAGCCCAATGTTTCCAAGTTACACGCACTGGCACCTTCTGGTCTTATCACCTAGGATACAAGATTGGTAGGCGGAATTACCTTTCCAATGGAATCTCTTGGCATCTTCGTCGCGAAAACGGTTCGGAGTTCTCTTCACACTGCGGCACCAAGATGTGAAAGTGAGGGAAAGTGTTAGGCCTCAGACTCTGAGACACCTAACCAAGAAATCCAATTAACTGCTGGTGCTCAGCTGGGAATGAGGGAATGACCCCTATAAACCATCCCTTGTATCCTTTAAGGGGACCCCCAGGTTCATTACTTCATTCGCTACTTATCGCACCAGCAAGTTCATGCTCAGCAAGCAAGCAACTGCTTGCTGCAAGAAACTGACTGGCTTCGAATTCTGCCCTCTCGCCGAGCCAAGTCCTCCGGCAAGCCCCTGATGTAACTCTTCCTCTCATCAGGCCTCCGCTTGGGGACCGCTCCGGCCGACATGTGGCTGTGGGTGCCCCCCAAAAAAAAACGGTAAATGAAACCAAAGACTAAAACCTGCGGTCCAATTCCTGGTGATTTAATATTGACCCACACCCATTGGATCTGTTAGCTGCAGGCCAAAACAAAGCCTCAAAAGGGATGGTTTGGAGCTGGGTGGCTGGGAGCTCGGAAGTCATGTGGGCTATCAAAACGCCATGTCGCGAGATGTCGAAGATGAGACATGTCATTGCAAAATTTAGGCACCAATTACCAAATGGCTGTGGGTCAAAACCAATGGTACCATTTTGGGGTAGGTGCAGTTTTTTTTAGTGGTGATTGGGATCTTGACGGGTACGGGAGTTTGACCCATGGCAAAATCTCAATATTGCGTAACATACCAATTTGGCTGTCGAAAAGCTTTGCACCGTTCTTGGCGCCATGCTTGGCAACCCTCAGTTGAGGGTTCGGATTTGTAGAGGAGAAATGGGGAAACCACAGCTAAGGTCCTCACCAAGCACCCAAATCGAAGCTAGTCTTGGGATTCCCCCACCAACAGTTGATTCCAAAACATCTTCTCTGCAAATCGACATGGAACCCACAAAAAAAGAGAAACAAAAAACTCATCCAATTTCTGGAACACTTTGGAGCACCCCCAAAAAAACGAAAAGGTTCCACCTTCATTCCATTCCCCAAACATGTCCGTCCTTCGGACGCGCTTCTCGCTTCGCTTCGCTTCGCCGCTTTTCTCTCGGGCGCCAGGCAGCTTCTCGGACTCGGTGCGCAGCTTCACCAGGAGCTTCGGGTGGTGGACCACCGCCTCGATCCGTGGGACTTCGGAGCTGCCGGAGTTCGGATCTGCGTCTCAGGTTGATGCGGGTTTAGGGTCTAGGGTTTAGGTTTAGGGTTTAGGTTTAGGGTTTAGGGTTTTAGGGTTTAGGGGATTTGCTTTTCTTTTGGACGGGCACCCGTTGAAGACCTTCATTTGCAAGGGAAACCACAAGGACAGCCAGCAATAGTCCCCTGGTCCTTTGGTGCAAGCAATTGGAACCCGTCTCGGTCCGCAGACGTTGGGAACCAGTTCTTCAAGCGAAACGCGATGCGAAACGCGCGCTTGGGTGTTTTGTCATGTCCACGTCGCCCAAAAACATCGGCTAATAATTGGCCCGCTCCTTCCCGGGGGCATTCTTCCAATGCTCACCGTTGGTCAATGGGTCAACAGATCTGATCAACCGTGGGTTTTGGAATCCAGGGTTGCAGCCTTTGATTTGCAAACCTGTGTGGTGTGGAGGTGTGTGGAGTCCTCTTGGATCAAGAAGCAAGCCGCCAGATAAACACACACTCGAAAGGAGGAAACGTTTACGCCCAGGTCAAGTTTGTGTACTCCCCTGCACCTCTCGCCATCTTGACTTCCTTGCTTGGCTTAGACTGCTTGCATGCTCTCCAAACACAGCTCGCTTCCTTCCAGTTCAGGGACTGGGCTTCGTTTGTTCGCCAAAACGTGTGGCATCTGACAAGAGACGTCCTGGAATCCAAAGGACTCGCACTTCGATTCCAGAAACCACTGGCTATTCTACCAGTATCAAAGTCACCCCCCAAGTAGGTCAAAGGCAAACCACCAATCAGTTTCTGACTTTGATAACCCCCGAGAAATGGCCCCCCCAAAACAAAAAACATGGTGAACCCGAAGGCCTCGCCAGCACTTCACTGAGGGCTGTGCGGACTGCACACTTTGCCCGGAGATCGGGTGCAGCTGAAATCCCTGGACAGCTCACCAAAGCTGCGACGGATCCAAAGCCATCGCGACGCACTGCAAGTGGCAACCGCGAATCTCAGAATCCTCAGGAGTCTGTGGCTGTTGCAAACTGCGGCAAATAAGGACGAAGAAAGCGATTAGCACAACGATGGCACCAAGAACAGCCTACCAGCTGCTTGGGCTCGTGTGACTACCACCGAGCTAAAAGAGGAACCACCCCTGATTCGTACGGTCCTCAGGATTAATCCGAGGTGCATCCGACAGCAAGACAGAACCGTCGTGCCAAAACGAAAACTCAAGATACAGGGCTAAAAGACAGACGTGCAGCTTTGCGGGTGCCCTTTGTGTGTAGGTGTGTGTGTGTGTGGTTTTGAACAAAAACCAAAGGAACCCCAAAATCCATTTTGGGGGTCCCAAGACCTTTGCCGGGCGCGCCTTGGCGGTATACACCAAGGCCACATGCTCCGCGTAAACGCCCTGCCCGTGTCGTTCGACGACGTGAGAGCCTCGGTGACCCGCAGGAGTGGCAAAATAGTTGCTCCCAAAGATGGGCGGCATCCCTTTCAATATCCGCAAACCATCCCGAGACAGGATTTTCTCCATATATATTGGTGTGTTGGATTTAAAAAAAAAGCGAGCAAGCAAGCAAGCAAACAAACAATTGAACAAACAAACACAAAAACAAACAAACAAACCAACAAACCAAACAAACCAAACCAACCAACCCAACCAACCAACCAACCAACCAAGCAACCAAGCAACCAACCAACCAACCAAGCAACCAAGCAACCAAGCAACCAAGCAATTAAGCAACCAAGCAACCAAGCAACCAAGCAACCAAGCAACCAAACAATCAACCAACCAACAAACAAACAAACAAACCAACCAACCAACCAACCAACCAACAAACAAACAAACAAACAACACACACCACACACCACACATGTTGGAATTGTCCAAACTTGGCATCACTCAGCGTGCGGCGCTCAGCATCCTGTCCGAAGACCAGCGTCTTGGTGATCGCCATGCCTCGAAGGCAGAGAATACAGAGAAAAAGAGAAAGAGACAGAATCCAGAGAGAAAGACAAAAAAGAAGAGGGCGGCGGGGGATGGCCAGAGCAAAGCTAGTGATCCCGTCTTGTCAATCCCCAGAAGCTTGGGCAGCAAGCAGATTTGCGTAGCTCCCAACCACATGGGCAACCTACTTCCATGGCCCCGTGGAGGCTTGCCTGAGGTGCAAACAAACGACATGCTGATTGCGCAACGAATCCTTTAACCCTGACACGGCCGATGTGGGGTTTTGCCACACTTTCAACCAGCCCGCCTCTTGTAAAAGGCCAAACAAGTTGCATCTTCCATGATCAACACAGGATGACAAACCCAAATGGGTTGGAGTTGTACCATCTACCCTCATCCTGTCGGATTGTCTCAAAATGAGAAGGGACCCCCAAAATGAGTGGCTTTCCTTTGCTTTCCCTTTAAACCAACCCCACAACGAGTGCCCCAAAACGGCAAGGCACGCCCCTGTGGCCGCGGCTCGCGACCTCCCGGGCGCCGCCACCGTCGAAGACCCGGAGACGGATGCCCAGCCTCGCGACGGGACACCCGAAAGGTGCGAATGGGTTCTCAAAGGATTGTCCCGAAAAAAAGAAGAAAAAAAAGAAAAAACGGGGGAAAAGAAAAAACATGGTGAAACAGATTTTCCATGTATCATAGGATGTGTCCCCCAACAAATGGTTAAACGGATGTTCAATGCATCACAGGATGTGTCCCTCAAAATGGATGTTCGATGGAGTTTCTGCCTGTTGGTTTCCCTTTACATACCAGAAGGGACCCAACATCTTGAGAAATTCCCAAATCAGAAGTTTAGGGGGACTATCTCGGGTTGCTATTAACAAGGGCAAAAAAAGACTTGAAATGAAACAGGAACAGCGGAGGCATTCCCCAAGGGGGAAGTCAGGGGGTCGTCACTCCCCGCTACTCCGCAATTCTGGGCGTCACCCCCGACCCAATTCCCTGCAAAGGAAGGTGCCCTTCATCACATGAAGGGCAATTCCAGCGTAATGTGTGCGCAATTATCCGTGGGGAGCACAACATCAAAATATGTTGCAAACCTGTAGATGTGTTGACACTCAAGGTCCATTACAATAACGAAAACCCATCTTCAAAATGAAGAAGATAAGAAATTCGGAAGGAGCAAAATTCATCAAACTTGTCCTTAAAATCAATGGTAATCAAACCGCCCCACAGAAACAAAAATAGAAATCGAATGACCCCTATAAACCATCCCCTTGTGGTTTCCGTTAAATAAGGGGACCCCCAGGTTCATTCGCTCATTCCACAAAGATGGTAACGTGTTTCTCGAACTGATACTAATTTCGGTAGCACCTTGGGGTCAGGTTCCAAATCCCCAAAGCAACACCAACCAAGTCAAGTGAACTCGACCTTCAACAAGTGGTCCCGCAAGTAGAGCTCGCAGGTCACGCGTTTTCCATGTAGCAGCGTCGCTGTGCGACGATTCGGCTTAAGGGGTCCCTAGGTGGGCCAGGGCCAAAATGGCGATCGTAGCCTCTCCATGAAACATGCTAACACGGCTGAGGCTTACACACTGACATGCCCCAAAGATCTCAGGCGAAGCTTGCCATTTTCTGGCCGCTCCGGAGGAACTCCGTCCAACTCACGTCGGGGCTCACGTCAGGTTCCTCTGGGGGTGCCACACCAGGGGACTTCTTATTCTTCTTCTTGGCGGCGATGAAGTCTGGGTCGTACTTCACCGTCCACAGCTGCTTGCGCTCGAGGAACCGTCTCAATCCCTCCTGAGCCTGGGCCTTTGTCAACCCATCCGCAAGCTGGGCCTCCGATGAAACCCACAGCAAGGAAGTGTTCTGGCGCCTGAGGTTCCATGAGCTCAAGCGCCGCATACTTCTCCTTCATGGAGTACCCTGCTGAAGCTGTGTCCTCCTTCCAGAAGGCGTCATAGACGGACTTCGCGTCGATGACCAGAGCCGCGTCCACTTTGATTGTCGCGTCCTCCGGCCGGCGCAAGTCCAGCTGGTAGCCTAGCAGTTCTGCCCAAAGCGCCCGGCAGAACATCAGCTCCTGCTCGCCTTCCGCCAGAGATTGAATCTCCGCCGACAAGCTGCTCTTCGCCACCCGATGCAACTTGCCACACTTCCAGGAAACCGGGTTCACGGGCACCCGCTTTCCATCCAGAATCGACCGATGTGCAAGGCCGACAAGGTGTCCTCCAGTTGAACCGAGGTCAGGTCGATTCCCGACTGCTGCATCCGTCCACGTCACCATGATGAGCTCCTCATCCGCCCCTGCTCCGAGTTGTTCAACCCCGATGCTGAGGCTTCGTTGTTGATATACTTCACGACATAGTTTGTTGATCTCCTTCACAACGTCCAAGTTGCCCTTAGGCAAGGCACTCTGCAGCCAAGACAACTTCGCTGCATGCTGTAAGCCCGTCTGCTGGACTCTCCATTGTACCGCACCAAGCACAGCCCGGCACTGGCTCATGATGGAGTTGTTCATCTCCTTGTCGTTGGGGCCGAGCTCAACCTGCTTGAGCTCCTCGCAGTACTGCGTGTGGTCCAGGATGAAGCCATAGTCGTTCTTCTGCATGAGGTTAATGCCGCAGTGCGCGAAGGGCATCGCCTCCCAAGGCGACCAAGCGAAGGACTTGAAGAGGATGTCCAGGGCCGCAGTCCACTTTGCATTGGTCTCGTCGCCGGTGATCAGAAAATCGTCGACGTGAGCGCCGATCGCACCAACCACCTTCCCGTTGTCCTTAAAGATCCACAGGCAGGGGTCACATTGCAAGCGGGTCAGGCCGGCCTTCTCCTGCATGACATCACACACATCTAAGAACCATTCTCTTGGAGCCGAAGCAAGTCCGTAGGCAGCCTTGAGCAAGCGAACCGCCTGTCCCCGTGGCAATCCCATAGCTTCTGATAGCTCTTCCACCGGGACGGCGAAGATGTTCCTCTTGGCCTGATTGGAGCTGCCCTGCAAGAAGGCGGACTTCGCGTCAGCCTTGAGGCAATCCCACCTCTTGTGCGTGGCCAAGTTCAAAAGCAACGTTTTGCCCCTCCTCGAAAGAGTGGGGGCGGCAGTCACGAGCTCTGTGAGGTCGGGGTCGCTGTAACCCAAGAGCACGATCCGGGCCTTTGCCTTCACATAGTCGGCGCTGTCCCCGGCCTTGAAGGTCAGCACCCAGCGCATCCGCATCAAGCGATTGGCCGGGATCTGCACATCCGCCTTGGCACAAACCTTGCGAATGATCCACTGGTCGACCTCGAGCTGCTTGGCTTCTTTCATAGCTCTTCTCTGCTCCTCCGACAATCTGCGCCATTCCACCTCCGCGCCCTTCTGGACGTTCTTGGCCGCGAACTTGGCTGGGTTCTTTACGATCTTCTTCCACTCCATCTCATTCGCGGGGGTCGGGATGGTGATGCCGAAGATGCCGTTCTCTGCCTCTTCCTCCGCGACGTACTGGACGGGGTTCGAAGAGGAAGCTGCAGGCAGGCTCTTCCTCACATGAAGGGGAATCTCCTCTCCTTCATGGCTCATTCTCTTCTTCCGGAACTTCTCCCGTTCCTCCGGCGTATATCGTTCCAGCGGGTTGTAATTCAGGTCGGAGAGCAGCCGATCGATGTCGATCTCGTCCTCGGGTGATGCCGGAGTTTCCGACAGCTGGCGCTTGCGACTCTCCGGATCCTCGATGAGCTCGTCATCTTCCTGTGGTTCTGGCTTGAAAGGGATCTTGGGCTCGCTACTCCGGCGTTCCATTCGAAGTCGGCTCCGGCTCCTCCCTCGCAGCTCAGATCTCTGCTTTGGCCCAAGTTTCAAGGATCCTTGGGTGAGGTCGTCAAACTCGCCCTTGTTGAGCTGGCTAACGAGCTGCGTGAAAGTCCACGGCATGCCAGCAACATCTGTGTTCTCCGCAATGAGGCGCTCGGTCTCTGATGCGTGTCGAAGCTGATTGCGGTGAACCTTCTTCAGTCTCCCCTGGGAGATGATCCAGATGGAGCTGCTCGCTGACCGATAAATTCCCTCTTCTCTCACGCGAGTTTCGGCCGCCAGCACCCGTCCAGGTCCAAACCATCGGCCAACACGCAGTCGAGGCACATCTACTTCATCATGCGCTGGTCGATCACGAGGGGTCTTGAACCGCTTGTAGTAGACGAGGTCTCCCGGCAAAAACTGATTCACCGGGGCTGCTCGCGAGTTGGTTGCCCGGCTCAGCTTGGCCAGGTCTTGCTGCTTCTTGTACTGTGCTTCGGCTTCTCGGCGTAGTTGCACTTCCAGGGGATGACCAGGCAACTGCACATGCGAGGCTGAAGCTGGGTTGAGGTCCTCCTCCGGAAAACGGCCAAATGCCCACTGAGCTGGGGCATATCCTCCAACACGTGCTTGAGTGTTATGTGCACCGACCATCGCCCAAGCTGCTTCACGGACAGAACAGTCTCGGGCTTCCCGAAGAAAAACTTCAACCCGATGCCGAACTTCTCCAACTGCTCTTTCAACATCACCCGTCGAAGCATGGTACTCGGCCGGAACATGGGCAAGCTCTATCCCTCGCTCTGCACAGAAACGTTCCAAGTCTCTGCCTCTGAAACAACGTTCAAGGTCCAACCGGATCCGCTTGGGCATGCCGAAGTACTGGATCCAGCTCTTCTGAAGAGACTCCAACATCTCTGGCGTCGCCACGTTCTCGTGCTGGTCATCTGGGTGGGTCACGATCTCGTCGGTCACCACGTAGCCCGAAGCCTCGTCAAGGTAGAGAAGGAAGTGGTGCACCTCCGTGCCGATCCGCATGTAGAAGGTGTCAATCTGCACGGTGTGCCACAGGGTGTCTGCCTTCTCCAAGGAAACCTGGGTCATAGGCGTTGCCATGCGACCCTCCTGGCATTCCGGGCAGTTCAGCTGGTGAGCCACTGCTTGCATCTGCTCTGACGCTCCTCTGGATCTCAGGGCCCTGATGAGCGCCCTGTTGCTCGGGTGTCCACATTGACGGTGGAGCTTCAGGACCGTCTCCGCCAGCTTGTTGATCTCCTGGGAGGTGAGCCCGCCGAGGGCATTTGCCTGGGGCTCTGTCGAGCCGTAGGCCGCTGCATTTTGCTGCATCATCGCCTTGGCCGCCGTCCTGCAAAAGGAGGGAGTGTATCTCCCAGTCCTCTCCGGAAGTCCTCCTCCGAGGCACGGCGCATGTTCATGGTCTCCAGGGCACAGACGATGTAGGCGCGTCTCATCTGTGACCCGAATCCTCCACGGCTTCTTGATGGGCCAGCCTTTGTCCATGAGGCCAAACTGGCACCCGTCCACCAGCACATCATGGCATCGGTCTTGGACTCTCAGCTCAGACCAGAACTTCTCGATGATGTCCCATTTCCAGGCGTAGTTCCCGCGAGGCCACTCTTGAGCAACTTCACCACCAAGTTCAAGCTGGTATCGCGCCACGATCAGCGCTCTCTTCACCATCGCCTTCGACTTCTTGCGGCGAAGATCCCCTTTTCTCTTGCCCTCCTCGGTGATCTCGTTGAGGTTCTGGATGGGGGAGCTTGGCCCGCAGGGAAGACTTATCCATGAGCATGTTGAGCACGTTCTGGAGGCCCTCATTCTTCATGAGGTCGCAGTTGTTGAACAAGCCGGCTCGACCTCCACGACCACCAGCTCGTTGTACTTCTTGAAGTAGTAGGCTCTCCGGTCCACAGCAAAGCTCCAGCACGTCCCACGGTTCCGGTACGCCACCACAAACTTGAAAAGCCTCCTCGATGCGGTCCTGGGTATCCTTGACATTCTCCAGGAGATACATCAGGTCCTCATCGGCCAACGAGAACTTCTCCACCGGCTGGTAGACACCGAGGTTGTCATACTCCAGGGTGTCCTCACCCTTCACGATGGCGAAGTCACCGTCCATGAGCTTTCCGTTCGGGCGTCGTACTCCTGGTCTTCTGCCGAAACCTCGTTCTTTCTCATCTTCCTGCCTGGAGTCGTCTTGAGCTCCTCCGCATCGCTGGGCTGAGAAACACCCTCTTCCTTGATGTTCTCCTCGTGGTAGCCCTGCTTTGCGAGCGCCTTCGCCTTCTGAGCCTTGATCACCTCCAGGCGCTTCATCAAGCTTCTTTCCGCTCCCTCGAGACAGATCGCCTGGTTCTTGAGAAGAGGGTTGTGTGCCGCCTCGTTCCCAAGGGACTCCACCACCTCCTTTGTGTCGCTCGGCAACGGTCCGGCCTGGCGGGTCATGGCATGGGCTCCGTAGGCTGGGGTGTAGCTCAGCCTGAGTCTGCATACCGCACACGCCGTCCAAATGGCATGGGCGTTGGATCCCGAAACCGAACCCCGGCCGGGGCGTGCTTCCTGATGGTTGCCGTTGCATGGTGGCCCGGTCAGGCGAGGATCTCGAGGGTCTGGTCCCACTTGTCGTCCGTAGTCGAACTTCTCCCCCAGGGGACCAGTCGTTGGTTTGGTCTTGACCTTGGCCTTCGCTGCTCCCTTGCTCGCCGGGACGATCTCTGGTGTCTTGCCATTGAGGGGGTCCCTGGTCGTCTCCTTCTCGGATGCCATGGCGGGAGAGTAGCGAGGCTAGCGAATTGGACTGGGCGAGGCTCGCTAAGAGATACCAACGCATCCCGTCAGCGGGGTCTTGGAGCCGAGCAGCCGGAGGCATAGAATGATCATCAATCACAAACACACACTCCTGTCTGTGATCATGGGCCAGAGACTTCGACGAAAAACTGGCCATGCCACTGCTTTCCGGCACACTCATGGAATCCCACCCCCGTCCCGGAAGATGCACCATGTATGCTCCGTCAACGGGCTTGCTCCAGTTGAGAACGTCAGAGGTCTCTGTGCTTGACGCAAAACTCACTGCCGATGTGGGGTCCGGATGCCAGCTTTTGAGAGGCACGTCGGACAGGGGACCTGGAAACCTCCCTCAGTGGTGCACTTGGTGATAGGTGACGGGGAAGCTCCAATCTCTTGCCTGTGGTGAGCCAGTCCTCGTGGCCGCATCTGCTTTTCACCAACGGGATGGCGATGGCTGGATCCACCGCCTGCATGATGATAACTCCTTTGAAGACGTCTATGATGGCTTGCAACTTCCCGAGGGTCTTGATGCCGATCAGCACGGGGACGCCCGGCGCATCCAGGGTGTAGATGCCAAGAGATAGGCGCCGGTCTCCAAGGTTCTGGGGTAGCAGGAGATAACTCTCGCTCTTCTGAATGGCCCCGTTGCCGAACTTGAAGGACTTCAACGGGGCGGGAACAACCTTGATCTCCTCCTTGACTCCCAGAACATGCCTACGGCCAAGAACAATGCGCTCCAGAGCCGTCAGGGAACCAACCGTCTCCGTGGCGCCGGTATCCAGCACTCCATATCCTTCCGATTCCGGGCTCTCCACCACCGCGATCATGATGGGGTCCGGAATCTTCTCCTGGTACAGGATGTCCCCGGCGTCCAAGGGCGGAAGACCATCATCTCGGTGAACTGAACGAGTGCCACTCTGGGGGTCCACAAGGATGTAGGGATCCTCCGGGGAACCTGGGGCTTGGAAAACCTCTGCAGGGTCTAGGATGATCTCCGATTTCGTCATGCCGTTCAAGTCCGGGTTGAACCTGACGTCTCCATCGCCTCCCTCCTCCAACTCGATCTGCTCCTCTTGCAGCATGAAGATGCCCAGGGGCTTTCCACGAAGTAGCTCCCAGATGACTTCCCCCCTTTGCCTTTTCCTCTCTTGGGGCAATGGCGAAAGTCATGCTGTTGGGAACCGCAAATGAAGCACCCGGTGTAACCCGGCTGACCCGGTTGCTGCACCGCAAGGACAGATCCAGCAGGAACGGAAGGGGTGGTTCCATTGACAAAACCGAAGGTTGCCCCTTTCCTTTCTTTCCTTTGAACTTCAATCCCCGGTTGGCTCCTTTGGCAGCCATGACTCTCCGAGCCTCCTGAAAGGTCCGGGCCTTTTGCTCGTAGGCCGCGTAGGCTTCCTGAACCTCCTTCAACTGCTCGGGAGCCACCATCAACGAAGTCTGCTGCTGCGTCTCCCAGTCGGACCATGCCCAGTAGGTGCCAGAGATGTCCTGGTGGTAGTACTCGCCGTCCCCGCCAGAGTCCCACCAGGAGTAGCCACCGTCTTCCTCTTGGTTCCAGAAGCCGTCTTCCATCACGCTCTCCAGGTTGTGCTCTTGCGTCTTGGTAGGGTAGTCCTGCATGGGGTTCTTGTTCACCCAGTGGACCTGGTTCAGGTCGACGAACTCCTCGACCTCCATCTCCGTGCCCATGAAGATGCCCCACTCTCCATCTTCCTCAACCCAGAAAGAGCGCCCTTTTTCCTTTACGGCCTCCGGATTGATCCGGATGGGTGAGCTCTTCCTATCGGCGCTGTGCAGGCTGTTGTGGATGGAAGCCAGCACATTCAGACGTTGTGCCGATGTCAGTGCAGCCCTCCTCAGCATGATCCATCCCACAAGCTCGTCGGCTAATGCAGGAGGTAGAGCGGTGTCCAAGGATTCCCAAACTTCTTGTCCATCTGATGCCGAAGAGGATGATGAGGATCTTCCTCTCCGGCGGTCTTTACCTTTTCCTTTGCTCCGTCCTTTTCCACGTCCTCGACCATGACCGCTTCCACCGCGGCTCAGATCTGATCGAGGATCTCCGCTTTCTTCATCAGGCTCATCTTCTCCATCTCCAAAGGCTTCTCGTGGATCGAGAGGCCAACCATCCCAGCCGTCCTCCCCGATCTCGCCCGTCTGATAGGGCTCCTCCTCGGTCCTTGCACGCGACCTCCTCGTCGTCGGCGATGAACTTGGCGATTGTTCAGCACGAGGAAGGTCCGGTTGTGCTCCAGGGGTCTTTGCTTCTTTGCTTAGCTGGGTGTGTTCTTGTCGAGCTCGCTGTAGTGCTCGCTGTAGACGGCGATGAGCTTCTCGCACATGTTGGCACCAAGAAGCCATTGACATCGTCGGGGGCCGTCTCAAACACCGCATCAGGAACGGGAGTCTTGGCGAGGCGATTCTCCAAGTAGTCCAGGAGATACTTCGCACCGTCGTGCTGGCTCAAACGTTTGTGGTCAATCTCCTGGGTGACAAGCCATGCTCTCCCGGAGAGTTGCGAAACCAACTCCGGTCCCAGGTAGCGCCTGCGCCTCCTTCTCGTCCGTTCCCAGGCCAGCCTCACCTTCCGCACGAAGTCCAGCCAGGTAGCAAAGTCCCCATCCCAAGTGACCCGGAAGCTGTCCTGGTTCTTATCCCCCATGGATTCCCAAAAGTCCGAGGACAAAACCAGCTCCGGCGAGGACTCCTGGGATCCCGTGATCTCCGGCTGAAGGCAACCTGCTCTGAGACCTTCGGCTCCTCCACGAACAGGTTCCACCTCCAGCTCACCTTGGCGGTCAAAGCTTCCGGCAGGATGCCTCTCAGCTTTGCCGCCCGCCTGCTCTGTGGCAGGCTCCGCTACCAATTTCGGTAGCACCTTGGGGTCAGGTTCCAAATCCCCAAAGCAACACCAACCAAGTCAAGTGAACTCGACCTTCAACAAGTGGTCCCGCAAGTAGAGCTCGCAGGTCACGCGTTTTCCATGTAGCAGCGTCGCTGTGCGACGATTCGGCTTAAGGGGTCCCTAGGTGGGCCAGGGCCAAAATGGCGATCGTAGCCTCTCCATGAAACATGCTATACACGGCTGAGGCTTACACACTGACAACCAAGGCCAGGGCGGAATCTCCGCCTTCTGCACCGGAATCTTCCAGAAGGGTGTCACCTCAGTCGACATGCTCCATATTATGTGGATCTGTCAAGGGAAACCAAGAGCAACGCCCACGTCTTTTCTTTCTTGCTTTCTTTTTTGGGGGGGGTCCGCTAAAACACACGCCCATATGCCCCACATTGCCCAACATGCTCTAGATGCTGGAAGTTTGATCCGCCTGATCAAGAGAGCTCCTCAACTTCAAGCTGACGCCACCGTGGCCCAAGCAATGCCATGGGCGGCAACCGACATCCACACGAGCCCGGTGCTGGCATGGAGTTCACGATCTCCTCGAACTCCACAGGCGCGGGTTCCTACGGGAGAAGCCAGCCGGAGGTGGAAACTCAGGTCGTGCGTGCCTTTTATATTTATTCAAAAAAAAAATCGGTGTGCATATGTTGCAAGTAAAAGTGTGCAGTGAAGCACAAAAACTCACTGCGAGGAAACACGGCCATTTCCTGTAAACTGCAGTGATGGACTTCTAACTCTGCATTGGCACTGAGCGAGGCTGTCCAATGTCTGCTGCCTCAATTCAGCCAGTGTCTTGGCAGAAAACACCAGGATTTCTGGCATCGTCTGAAACCACGCTGTGGGCATTTGAGCGAGGCCGGTAACCACCAAGGTCTTCGACGTTGCTCCCAAGACCAAAGGAGCTTTCCCTTCAAACAGAAGTCCATCTACTTACAAAACTCGGTGAAAGTCGCTCTGCTACGTGTCCAAGCGCATCTGAAATCTGGCATTGCTCTGAGGCGCTTTTCCCTATCGTTGTTGGTGTTTCTCAAAAATTGGGAACCCTCCATGTGGTTGGTTTCCTTTTGGTTTCCTTTTGGTTTCCTTTTGGCTTCCTTTTGGCTTCCTTTTGGCTTCCTTTTGGTCTCTCTTTGAAACCATCCAAAAAGGGCCAGGCCACTAGGCCCTAAACCTACCAACCGGATTTCCCACGCGCCTTCTCTTCCTGCTTCCGCTCGTTCCTCTCCCGCTCGGCCTCTCTGGCTTTGGCCTTCAGCATGGAAGCAAACAGAGCACCGGAATCGCTTGAACAATATGAGTGTGTCTTTTTTAATGGAAACCCCTTTTTGGGGTTGGTTCAAAAGGTGAGCAAAAGGAAAACCACCATTTTGGGGGGAGCCCTAATTTGAGACACACCCATATGGATGGGCATGTCCAGTCTGTGTCATGCAGCGCCGAGAACAGTGCCTTCGCTTTTTCGGCTTCCCGCTTGGCCTTGCAGACGGGTCCGAGAAACTCTGAGATTTGCGCGCCCTATGACTTCAAAACACGCGCGGCTTGATTTGTGCTCTGCATGCAGAGATAGTAACGTAGTAGTAAGTAAGGGCCTTTTAGTAGCACTAGGTTCTCGCTTCTGCAATCATGTTGATTTGCAGGCTGATCACCCTCAAAATGTGATGATGAGGAGGAAGGAGGTTGCCCCAAAAACGCCCCGGCCTTGGGACGACCATGAGTATGTCAATCGGCACGCATTTGGGAAAGCGCGAATGGGTGCCTCACTACCTTCCCCACATCCAAATCAGAAGACACCCTGACGCGCGTCGGTTCCGGCCTGCGCCTCCTTGGCTTCTGCCTCCTTCGCCTCCCTCTCCGCCTTCTCTGCTTCCTTGGCTTTGGCATCATCCGCCTGGCCGAAACCCCCCAGAGGGCGGATGGGTCCCTGAACCACCTGACAAGCCACCTGGACTGCCCACTCTTCATTTCGCAGTGGTAGCTGCTTCCCTGAGGCGCAAATGCCACCCACCCACCCACCCACCCACCCCCCCCCCACCCCCTTCCACTTCCTACGGGTCCCCTGGCCTGAGCCATTGACAGCGCACTGCCCAGCACCATCGGCGCAAAGGGCATGGCTTGGAAGGGCAGCCTCTCGAGACAAACCGCCGGAGCCCTTCATTCGGCCGGTCAAAAATCGGGTAACCCCTACATGGAACCCTGGCAAATAGAAACATGGACCAAAATCTGCGGTCCCTGGGCATTTGGTATGAAAGAAAAAAGAAAAAGAAACGAGTAGAGTGGCGCACCGCCGGCTGACGGTTGACCACTTCATCTGAATCATGTGATATGAATGGCAACAATTTGAGTACAGTCCCTACTGGAAAGAAACCTGGTACGGCTGGGGGATAGCTCGAAAGCAACGCCCACCAACTTTTTGGGGGGATGCCCGGGATCTTTTTCATGGACTCGTGGGGCAAAGGCAGCAAATGGCTCGAGCAGATTCCAAGAGCGGGCTTCACTCACAGTGAAACAAGTATCACTGCCCCGAGTCATGCCGGTCATCATACCACGAATGTGCCCACACATGGGACAACCTTTTGGTACCATCCACCATTCAAATGGAGACCCGCGAAAACCCATTCACGACTTGCCTGGTTTACGATCCTGCTACGCCCACGGCAACAAATAACCCAAGAAACAGAAATGTGTGGAAACACCTACCAAGCCGCCAGGAATCTGAGCTCATTATGCTAGAAATGGGCAAGGTAGGTCAAAGTCAGTTTTTCCTTTCCTGCCTCTTCGGGCGACTTTGAGACTGGTTTCATAACGAGGACAGGGAATGTGTTGCTTGTGCCAGCTGCATGGCGAAAGGCCCCACCAGTCTCGGTGTACAAGGAACGCCCAACGAGCATCTGCCACTGGAACAAAAGTCGGCTCAAAAAGAAACTCGGAGCTTTATATATATATAAAAAAAAAAAAAAAAAAAAAAAAAAAAAAAAAAAAAAAAAAAAAAAAAAAAAAAAAAAACGGTGCCAGCCCTCTCCCCTGAGCCACCCGGCATGCCAGGCACCTGCATCATGGGCGCCATCATCGCCTGCTGCGCCTGCTGCGCCTGCTGCGCCTGCTGCGCCTGCTGCGCCTGCTGTGCCTGCTCCTGTTGCGCCTGTTGCGCCTGTTGCGCCTGTTGCGCCTGCTCCTGCTGTGACTGCGGCGGCTGTCGCTGCACCTAGCCGGAGGTGGGCTTTCAAAGGAACCAAGGGCTATGATCCGGGCCTACCGTTGCTTCAATTCTTTGTGATGTGTTCCCACAAGCTAGAAGCGATATGCATCCCAAAAGATGAGCTGACTGGCAAACACCACTCCCTGCAAAGAGTGGACCATTCATGGCAACTCCTATGAACACCTTACGCGGGAAATCATCCAAACCCCTTTCCAAAAGAGGCCAACAGTCCCTCTGGACCCCATTGCAACTCGGAATCGTGAACGCGAGCGAGCCGCCTGGGGAGCCACAGGCCTAAGCAACGAGTCAAGGCGGTTGCTTGCTTCAAGCCAGCCTAAAACCAACCAGCTTGAGGTGCCGAAAGCACCAGAACATGAATTCCAAGGTACATGGGCATGAATTCCAAGGTCGGCTGGCTTTTGTCGTCTGATTTTGCTCTGCAAGCGGAGGGGACAACCGGCTGAGTCAAACCGCGCCCCACCGCCCAACTGAGACCGGTGCCCGACAGGCAGAGCCTTAGGCGGCCTGGGTCCGGTCACTGTGCCGCTCGTCCTTTTTTCTCGTTTTGGCCGCCCTTTGTGGGTGCTTCAACGGGGAACCAAGCGGAACCCCCCCCAAAAAAAAAAATATGGGGTATTTTAGCACCTGTGAGACATCTTTGCGCTTGGCTTCAGCTGCTACTGTGGATGGACAAGTTCCTCCAGCAGTTAAAATTGATGAAGCCCTATGAATACTCATTGATAAACCACCAACCAGCAGGATGTTGTCCACCCACAGTAAGGAGCGTTCTAAATTTTAGTGGTTGGAATGCCCTTCAAACAAGTTGCCCTACAAATTACCATGGAACCAAAAAACCACCATTTGTCCCCCTGCAAAATGGGCACCCATTTCTCGTGACACTTTCGGCTTCCACACTCATTTCTGGAGTCATGCGTTCCGAGAAACTCGGACCCCCTGGATTCCTTCCCTTCATTTGGCTGTGGGTCAAAAGCCAAATCGTACCCCCAATGAACATCCGATTCAATCCAACCACTAAAATAGGAAGCCTAAAATGGGTGGTGAATTCTTACCCAATCCAACCAAAATGGGATCAACCAAAACGGTCAAATGACCACCACAGCTCTTTGGTAGGCGTGCCCGCCCCCACCGACTCCTCCATCCAGAAACCAGGGAGGGCTCCTCAAACCCGTCCGGGCTTCCCGGCGTGGCCTCCGGGGGCGCCTTCGCCGGGGCCACTCTCTCGCTGCTCCGATGGTCGTTTTTGTGTTTCTCTTTTTCCCCAAAAAAGCTGAACAAAATATAGAATATCTCATGTTTTCCCAAATTCTCGATAATTCAAAATAAATCTTAAATAAAACAAATGATATATATATATATATATATATACTTATATATATCCTTCGAATTATTCCCCAACAGCTGAAAGCTTTGGGGTCTCAGCCCAGATAGGCTCCGGGGTGGTCCGGGGCGGTTCCACAAGGGATCCACCAGGCTTCCACCGGGGTTCCACGAGGGTTCTACAAGGTTCTGCGAGGGTTCTGGGAGGGTGGGTGACTGTTGGGGATATCGCCTGAGCCTGTTAAAGAAAGCCAACCACTCGGTGAGCAAAAAACACGGACCCACCAAAAAGAACGTGCGAACGTTGAGACCTTGGTCTGCCTGCCATCGGAGCCTTGGCCCTGGAGGTGGAGTGGTGGGATGGGAGACCCTGCATCAACAAGAACCAGGAGTTGGTGTCGGGTCAATTTGCTGTTTGGTGTCAGAAGGTCAATTTGCATTTACCCAAGTGTCTGGCTTTGGGAGGTCAATTTCTCAGGTAACGCTTGATTGGTGGTGTGGAAAAAGGGATCGAAACAATGTGAAGCCTTTGCAAGGAAGCCATGCAGCTTTATTTGATGCACATACGCATTGGAACCGCATTTGACAGCCTTAGACGAAGATTCCCCAATAGAAAGGCCGCAGGCGGCCGCGATGCGTGCCAAATACGGAGCTCTCAGCAAGTGATTGGATGGTTTATGGTGTTTCAACCAAAGTGCATCCACAAATGGACTATTCCTTCACGTGGATTGCAGGGCAAAATTCTGTCCCAGGGTTCAGTGAGATGCTGGCTTTTTTATCTATGGGCCAGGTGCCAGGAGCCTGCCCGACGGCACACAGACGAGACTCGTGGCTTTGCAAGACACAAAAGAACCCCGGCTCCACCCCCATAGCCCTTCCCAAAAAGTTGGAACGCCAGGTTCAAACCGAAAAAAAACAGGGGCCGAACCCCGAACTCGTTTCGGGTCCCCGGATTTTTTCGTACTCCGTTTCTCCCGTCGGCTGGGTCTCAACCCAGCCGGTCTCCGTCCCAGAGGTGCGCCTTCACCTTGGGCGGCGCCTTGGTCATTGCCTCGGCGGCCTGGGCCGAAGCTCAGATGGTTGGGGTCGCGCTGGTGAAAGCTGAGTGGCTTGGTGTTCATAGGATCCACAGCCAAGCTTGGTGGTTTCGGCTGGCTGGGCGTTGAGTTTACAGGCTCGCTGTCTTGATATTCGACGCCACTCTAGCCAAAAGGGAGCCCAGCCAACACGGTTGCAGGCAGTCTCGCTGGCTAAAGAGCAACCTGCACCACGATCATGGGAAGTCTCACGTTGGATTGCCCAGCCTTTCTTTCCTCCTCCTCATTGCCGCCACTGAGCTCTAGAACCTGCGCTCGCTTGCAGTCATTGATTTTAGTCCCTTAACATGGAATGCGCCTCCTGCTTTGGCGTGTCACAAATCCTGGTCCCTAGGTCGTGAAACAGTTGGTTCCTCATGCCTGATGTTGTGACCAAACCAGAAAAGTTCATCACGTCCGGCAGACTCGCGCTCCCAGTCTTCTCCCAAGCAGTCATTCATCGATGCGCATCTGCGTCGATTTTCATGATCGGATAGAGGCCACGTGTACAGTGCCAAGGTTATGAAGTGCTCAGTAGTTTTCATGCATTGCTTGATATCATGTTGTTCCACACTTGCATCTGTTGATTCCAAGCGCCCACTACTTCCAAGGAAGTCAGCCAGCCACGGCCCTCATCCAGGCCTTGTGACCATCTCCGTCCAGCAGCAAACCTTTGAGCCCGTCCTGGGCGCCAGCGATTTCTTGGGCCACATATGAATTCTTCATGCGCCATGGCGACCCAAGAGGCGCGGACCGGAATCGTTTGAGTCATGCCATGAGATTTGGCTTGCACCTCCATCGCACACCCCCCCCCCCTTCCAGGTCGCAAAGCCCTTTCCTTGCGCCACAGCATTTGAGTGTGTGCCAAATGCATTTCGGTGTGGCTTTGGCTTCCCTTGAAAAACCAACCAAAACAAGGGCGCACCGAGCCTGGAAAAGGTGCTAACCCATTTGGTTTCTCAAATTGGTCAACGGGAAATCCAGGGCAAATTCACTCTTCTAGCTGGCCCCATTGTCTCACCATCAAAGTCACCTGAGTGGTGCGTTGAAGGAAATCTGACTTTGACAAGCCCGGAAATCATTCACCATCAAAGTCACCTGAGTGGTAGGTTTAAGGGAAGCCTCCAACCAGCTTCTGACTTTGACAAGCCCCGGAAACAATAAAAATGACCCCGGTCTCGAGGACCCCTTCGCACGGTTCCACAAGCAGACTGCCCGAGGCGGCGGCCCCCTGGGGCCCGTAAGCCAAACGGGCCGAGTACAGGTCCCAAGATCTCGGGGTGGCGGAAACCGAGCGGTGAGCGAAGCGAACGTAGAGCACAAATGTGTGTGTGTGTGTGCGTCACACAAAGCAGGGTTTAGGTCAAGAAAATATAAAAGGCTGATGCGTTTCTGTTGATTTCGCTTTAACCAAGGTTTTAGCATCTGTCATTGGCCAGAACTCCCACAAAGAGCAGCTGATAAATCCTGCTGCTTGGGGTTCTGGCACTGGATTCCACAATATGACCTACTATTGTGGTCAAGATTCAAGCCGTCGGCGTGATACACACATTTACATTGCGTATACGAGTGCGTGTGTGTGTGTGTGTGTGTGTGTACCTATAAGTGTATGTATGTATGCATGCGTGTATGCATGTATGTATGCATGTATGCATGTCTGCATGTCTGCATGTCTGCATGCATGTATGTATGTGTGCATGCATGCATGCATGCATGCATGCATGTATGTATGTATGTATGTATGTATGTATGTATGTATGTATGTATGTATGTATGTATGTATGTATGCATGTATGTATGTATGTATGTATGTATGTATGTATGTATGTGTGCATGTATGTGTGTGTGTGTACATGTATGTATGTACCCTTTTGTATATAACTATATGTGTAGAAAACCCACCTCCCGCCTCCCAAAACCTGCCTGTCTCCACATATGAATGGCATGTTGACCCCACTCATCCAAAAACAAACCAAAACTAGCATTTCTGGCTCCAATGTCGAAGCATTGGAAATCTCAACATTCCCCACATGTTGCGCAACATTTGACAAAGAAAAAAGAAGACACAACCCCCCAAACAAAAAACACAAAACATTCCAGCCATGGTGGGGGTAGGATTGTGTTTTTTGGTGGGCATCATGCGCAAAATGTTGCAGAACATTTGGCAGATGTTGCAATGGACCCAAAAAAGCAAAACAAAACAAAACAAAACAAAAAACGCATGGCGGGGGTTGGATAGGACCTTGTTCTTGTCGTTGTTTTTGCTTTTGTCTTGTTTGGTTGGCTGTTTGTTTGGTTGCTTGTTGGTTTGTTGCTTGGTTGTTTGTTTGGTCGTTTGCTTGGTTGTTTATCTATGTATCTAAATATGTATGTACGTATATATTCATATGGTTGATTATCTAACTATATAATTATGTAGTTGGGTCGTTGTTTGGTTGTTTGGTTGGTTGTTTCTGCTTGCTTGCTTGACTGCATTCTATGGGCGCGTCTGCAAATGGACGACGGCTATTGAGGTGTTCCCTTTTGTTCGTTAAACCACCGAGAAGGGTATTCTCGACAAACCAAGCAGACCCAAGTATGGGCCTGCCCCTGGCAAATGGGACGCAAAAAAGGCTATTGGTGCGTGCCTGCCTGCCACCCACCAACACCCACACACACACAAACACACAGACACACCTCAGAAAAACAAGTTCCGCGCTTGTCGGCATCTGGCCGAGCTTCCACGAAGACCTGCTTGCGGGCATGTGTCAAAATAGGGGGATCCCCTATTTACGGTGGCTTCTTGGTTCGGGCTTCATCTTGGGCACCTTTCTTGCCAGACCCTCAGCTTGAAACCAAACCTTCGAAGAACCAAAACTGAGCATCTCTCATGTTGCTCTTCTCCTGCCAGTTGGCACCAAGTTCGAAAGTGTGGCGCCGCTCTCCAAAAAGCCTCGACCTCTCGGACACAGAAGCCTCTTTGGCCACTTCGAAGAGGGTTCTGTCCACCACGTCAGTCAGCAGCCTGTGAGGCATGGCCGTTGCTTGTGGACGATATCCTTGTAAAACCCGAGCATCAGTTCGGGCAAAACACCTGCCAGAACACAATCCACTTTGAAACGTGGCAACAAGGACAACCACTATATGAAGAGCTCGGATTGCTGCTGTCATAACTACGTAGCACTTGATAAATCGGGAAACTTGCAAATGTCAAAAGTACAATTCTGTCAAGCAGTGATGCACGCAGAACATCAACCAAAATTATAGCATTGATTCAAACTCCTTGAAGGGCTGGACAGTGGCATCTCACCAACAAAATCGACGGTTGCCTCCAAACTACCAACCGCTGATGCCCATCAAGCCCTGTTCCAAAAAAATGGAACCTTGTCCAACCCAAAAGCTGCAAACTCTCCGCCTGTCAAAGAAGAACAAATAGCAAGTAAGCGAAACCAAAGACAAGTAGATCGCAACTTTGCAAAGATCAAAAGAAACGACCGGCGGGCGAAGCACCTGTCGAAGGCATCAACAACCTGCCGCTGGCGATATCGGTAGATCTTCCGGGCGGTCTCAGCAGGCGCGGAAGCCGCAGGCAGTCATGCGGGTTGAGCTGCTCTTTCAGAAATGGGGGGGGAGTAGCCCAACCGATCAAAAGGCTACTTGGGATTCCGAATCTGAACTGGCCCTTTTGCGGACAGCCTTGTCCACCAACCACGTTTCAGGTGCTTCCTCATGAAATCTTCATAGCCATCTCCCCTTTTCGGGGCCTTTTGAACTTGGTTGCTGTTGACCCCCCTGCAAAAAGCTCCTCACTTTTTGGGGGGTTTAGTGGGAAACACCTTTCTTCCAACCAAAAAGATAAAGTTTTTCAAGATCCGTTGCCCAATAGCAGTCAAGTGAAGTGCTCCATGGGCACAAAGGCCCCAAGCGCCCCCCGCGTCTCCCAACTCAACTCGCGGACTGCGGACCCGGCGACCGCCTCCGCGCCTTTGGGCGGCTTCCTCGGCGCCGAAAAGGAGTGACTCGGCTAGGGAAAGGGAAAGATTCTTTTCAGTGGGTCATGTTTTTTTGTTTTTTGCGGGTGCTCAGGAAAACCACCATTTAATTTTATTATATATATATATTTTGGGGGGGGTGGGGGGGTGGTCCCCTAAAGAAAGGGGAAACCCAACTGTGATTGAATTGAAAGGGTGGTGATTGAAAGAACTTCGCTTGCAGAGAGCGCCAAATTCTTCCTGGCGGGCATGCGCTACCCAAATCTCGCCCAGTTTCCCCTGCATCTCCCGATGACTTCCCCCAACCTCAGAACCTATCTGGGCCACGACCCCAAGGCCTTCAGCTGTTGGGCAACAACAAAAAAACACCCTGACGGCCGCGGGCAAAAGAAAGCCACAAAAAGCCAAAAGAACCAAGGCCCCTTCCCCGCTGAAAAGAACTTGGCCGAAGCCCCGAGCCCCCGGCAGCTCGGAACCCTTCGGCTGCAGCCATCGCCTCAAGCGATGTTTCTTCCCGGAGGGGGAAGGATCACTGGCTTGCAAGCCCATTCAGCCGTGCCAAGCAGTGACATCCTTGAAGATCCTTGGCCCCAAACACCCATGGACAAAATCCACGCACTGCCCCAGTCCGTAGGTTGTTGATCAAGTATTCACAGAATTCCCGTCCCAAGTTGTATGATGCGAAGCGGGCTTTGTCCATCAGCGGCCAGCGCCGGAATTTCGGGGCCCTCATTTCAGGGGCTTCCTTGATAGAAGCAGACCCCCTGACCGGAGCTCAAGGGAGCGCGAGGTTGTTTGCGCAAGCTGTGATCCCTTGGCATGATGTGATTGGAAAGGTGCCATCGGATCGGGCGCTGAAGCCACCGAAGGACGGCAGTCTGCTCTTCTGGAGTAGCAAAGCAGCTAACATCGGTTGCCTTTTGGTGTTGCCAGGTTTGTTTTACAACATTTAGAGCTGCGCCTTGGCTAGGCAACCCTCCGAACCTCCGATTTTGGGTCGTTCCCCAGCCAGCACTTCCGCAACGGATCACAGGCAAACTTTGCGGGTCGGACATCGCTGCAAACCCATCCAACAACATGTCACTGGTGGAGCTTTGCCCTGTTTCCTTAACAGCGGCGTTAGCGCTCGTGATGAGAAAAAGACTCCCGCTTCCCCAAGGCCCCGTTCGATATTCGATCCAAATCGAACGGCACCAAGCGCCCCGGCAGCACACAGCTCTCCAGGAGCTCGGGGGGAAGCTTTTCCTGCCGCAAGGCGATCCAGGGCCAGAGAATCCTCACTTTGACTCCTTCGATGGGTTCAACTGGATTCCTAAGGCGGAGAGAACAAAAAAACATGAGTGTGCTGCGATCGGAACCCGTTTCTCAGGGTGTTCTGACTCTGGCCGGGTCTTGGGTGAAACCAGCACATGCCTGCCCAACTCAATGAGCGGGCATGATCACATGCATGCTTAATATGCAGATGCAGAAACCTTGCTTCGCGAATACATATATATATATATATATATATATATATGTATGTATGTGTATAAGTTATATATATAATAAAATAAGCTTGCAAGACACTCCCGGGTCACCCCAAACACAACGCACAGGGACAGCAGGGCTTGACACCCAGATCCCTGCCCATAGGCGCACCGACTCGGAATCATCCGCCTGGCAGGACTGAGACGGCAGGACTGTCCGGCCCAAAACGGGAAGGGCGAAACATGGGGTGTGGCTGAGAGGACCCAAAACTGGATGGAACTGGGAAACAAGTTACAAGGTCGGCTGTCTGAGTTCCAGATTCTGACATCCTGATCAGACCCGTACTTTCGACCAGCTCCTCCAAAGCCATGGCGGTGACACGCAAGAGGCCTTGATAGTCGCGGTAACAATGTTGGAATTCGACAACTCTGCTACCAGTTGCTTGTGTAGAGTAATCCGAAGTCTGATTCAAAGCCACCAGAGAAGAACTGCTAACCAAAAGTGCAGGGACAAGAACAAGCAAACTGACTTCACCTAGTCACCTTGACCATATGTCAGAAAGTTGCCGAGCAATGTCCTTATGATTCTGCCAGTTTCTTTTCTTTTCCGCAGCACGAGCCTGCTCTGGCTCGTCTTGCCAGTCCTGGACCAAAAGCGCCCTTTGGCCAATCAGCCACCAAAAAACCTAGGCCCAGGTCAGCAAAAATGCATGTCCCTGGCTTCCTCATGTAAGCGAAGCAATTGCAAGGAAAAATATGGACCTCTGTCCTTCAAACGTAAGGACATGCACGTAAGGTTCGGTCAGAATGTCAAGTCATCTGTAGTGCATTTGGGAAGAACATAGGACTCTCCGACTCCGCAAACCAGACAAACTCTCGAATTTGTCCATGTCCATTCTGGGTGACCAGCCTATGGCTGTGTCTGTTTTTTGAGGGTACCTTTTTTGGGGTGGTTTTACAGTAAAAGCCACCCATTTTTTGGGGAGGGGGGGTCCACACCCAGCTCCCGCTGATCCCACTGTCCTCCGCCTGGGGGACTTCTATGTCATCCTCCGGGCGCAGGACCATGGGCGGCCTCGCCTCCGGATGGAACCGGCGAGAGAGGCGAGGCGGCGTTGGGCGAGGCGCTTGCACTTGGGGCTTGGTCTATGGTGAAGACGTGGTCTGGGTATGGTCCAACGAACTGTCCGGCATGCATTTTGAGCATTTATACCAACCCTCACATGAGGATTCCTTTTATATGGGGGGCTGGGGTCTGCTGAAAAGGCATGCTGGAAAGGTATTGGATGACGGGCATGGCGAGATGGAAGATGTTCGTGAGTTCGGGAAGAGCCCTTTCCCTGTGAGGTCTCAGGGAAATCGCGCTCTGTGCGCGCGCAGAGAAACACACGTATCAATGTGTACATATGTGAATCTGACAATAAACACGACGTAAACACTCCCAAAGAGAACCTTCCTTGAAGGCATGCATCTTGCCGAGTATTTATTTTCCAACCTGCTGAGTTGCCTTACACCTCGCCTGACAGCCTGAAGGAGGATAGGGGAAACCTGAACACGCATCATATCTTGTGTCTCTAATAGAGGCTGATTTAACACAAAGCTGGCCAATCGCAATTCAGATTGCATGTTTGGCCCCTGGCCCCGGTGCAGACACCGGCAATGAACCTGACTTCGCGCACCACCCAGCTACTTTGGATCGCTGGCCCGCCCCAAATCCCCCGCCCGCCTTCGCGCTGCCGTTGGGAGCCAAAGGCGCCTGTAGGGAGAAACATGGGGCAAGCTTCGGGCGAAAAGCTCATCCTCTGGTTGCACTTGGCTGCAACGACATGGAAGGGGCTCCCGACAAAGCGCTTCAAGACCCCACCACGGGGAGGTATCAACATCCATGTTGATACCTTGCAAATTTCTCACGGGTTTGTCTCAAAAAGAGGGATCCCCAACCAATGACACGCCCAAATGGCCATGGGTCAAAACCCTGTACTGCCAGTGAACATCCCAATCTCCACTAAAATAGGAAGCCTAAAATGGGTGGTGAATTCACCCAATCCACCCAAAATGGGATCCCATTGGCCCACAGCCATATAAGCTCATGGGGTTCCTTTCCTTTGAGCCCTCAGTCGCATCTCAACATCCATAATCTGCCGGGCCTGTCCAAATCCATGTTGACCCACGGCCAAATCAAAGATCTTGGAACCCCTTAGTCGCACTCCAGCATGGCATGCGCCCGCCTGACCCATACATCCTGGCGGCCTTGCGTGTGCGAAACTGGCCGGAAGGCCGAGCTTGGGAGGGACCCGGTGTGCTTCTGGAATAACGACCAGGTGCCCTCACTTTGGGTGAACAATCTGCGCAGTTTGTGTGTGTGTCTGTGGTGTTGTGTTGTGATGTGGTGCGACGTGTTGTGTTGTGCTTTGTGGTGTGTTGTGTTGTGTTGTGCTGTTTTGTGTTTTGTGCTGTGGTGTGCTGTGTTGTGTGTGTGTGTCTGCTCGCATTTGGCCCTTGGCTGGGCTTGGCAGCACTAAAAACAACTATTGCTTCAAAGAAGGCCCGGCGGCTCTCCATATTGCTATCCATGCCTGACATGATGTTGCTGGTGGGCTTAGCCATGTTTTTGGCGACCTCCCTATCGTCTGATTTCTGAATTCGCAACCAGTTGAACTTGGACATTTCACCTCCGAGATGTCGGTCTCGTGTTGAAACCTGCACATCAGCAACATTGGTAAACACACTAGAAATCTCATTTGGTCAAGGAAGCTGTGCACAGCACGCCTGCACATCTCGTCACTATGAGGCCCAGACAGTTCAACTCACAGTGCGCCCCTTGCAAAAGAGATAGCGTATCACATGCTTGTGCATGGCTTGTCTTTGCAGCGCTTGTTGGAAGTTCAACAATTGAACTCCATAAGTCTACTGTGTATATACGTAGATGCGTGGAATGACAAGAATGATAACAATAGCAGTCGCAATAGCAAAAGCTATAGCAACCGCAACAGCAATTAACAATAGTAATAGCAAAGCAATAGCAATAGCAATAGCAAACAACAGAAACAGTAGTAATAATGAAAATAATAAGCACAGTAGAAACAACAATAATAGAAATGCACTCTGTTCATACTTCGGCCTTACAAACAAGTACGTGCCAAGCTTGGTTCACCGCAACCAGCCGCCAAGTGCAACGGAGCACGGCTGAGTAGCAGGCGGGGGCAAAGCAGGCGGCTGCCCAAAGGTAGGCACGCCTGCGCTTGGGCCCTTGTCAGCCCCAGGTGGTCGCCACAATATCGACGGGATCTTCAAGGGGTGTGGACCCACTCCAAACCATGTCAAGAATCAAAGGCCGGCCCTGTCAATATCTAATTGGGACTGGCCTCCCAGCTCCGGTTTGTTTGTAGCTCAGGTGAGGTGATTTTCTCGATGAAGAACACCTCACTTCTGAGGCTGAGACAAAGCAGGTAAGGAGCTCTCGATGAATGCGGTTGAACAGGGGCCAGATATCAAGATGGCTTCTCTTAGTTGCAACTAAAGTCACAAGGCAGAGGAATACAGGATCCCTTGGCAAATGACAAAGACCTTCCAAACGCATTCCTCACAAGCCCACCTCGAAATGAATATATATATATATACACATATACTTATGTATGTTATAATTATATATATATATATATAAACATATATATATATATACATATAGATTTGTATATGTATACATAATTATGTTGCCAGCTTTTCAACTATTCGGATTGCTTGGCACGCATCAAGAAAGCCGAAAGCCCCAGGCGGCACCAGCCCCACCTCCAGGCCGGAAGCTTGGGGGACCAAAGCCTGGCCTTGGCGCACTCTCGGCGAACTCTGCGGGGGTTGATTATGGCAGTGCCATTGCGCCATGACCCCCTTAAACCTTGGTTTTGGTTTTGAACAGGATCTGGAGATCAGCCACCTCTTTAAAATTCTCGAAAAGCCGTTTTGCCAGAGTTCCTGGCCAGTCCCAGAAACAGCCCTAAAGCATTGGAAAATAGATGCGAGACCTCGATGCGACACAAGCAGCAAGTGTGATGCCAAGACCAAGGAGTCCTCTTGGCTTGAATGGACGGCCGATGGCTTGCTTCCTTTTGGCTTCCCTGTGGAACTAAAACGGGTCCGCTTTTGAGAAAACCCCATATCCAAGTCACTACATCTCAGCGCATCGCTTCAAAGCCGCAACCGGGGCCCGAGCCCAAAGCTATTTGGGCAGGGGCCTGACGGTGCGTCGTGTTCTCGTTTATGTCTTTTGGTGGGGCGTGGGTCAAAAATAGGCACCCCAAAACGGGCTTCCCTGGTAAATGGAAACAAGGACCAAACCCTGCAGTCCATGTCCTGGTGGCTTAATTTTGACCCATACCCAGTTGGTTCCAACTCTGAAAAAATTGTAGCCACTCTGGACACGTAGCCACTCTGGACATAAGCAAGCCAGCCATCGCCTGGTGCTCCCATTGGCCGGCCCGGCCTCAACCGCAACAGGCCTGCCTCCTCTTGAATGGTTGTGTCTTAGAATAATAAGCCCGAAAAAAATGTAGTTTTTCCTGTACTTGCCCGTAAAGCACACCAAACAAGGTGCCCCAAACAAGGTGCCCGTAAACACACCCAATCTGTCAGACAATGCGGACTCGAACGTTCGGCAAGCACACCTGCTCGAATGAGACGCTTCGCGAGCCCAAAACCTCTCAGTTCACCCGATAACTCATAATTAGGTACACTGCGGAGTTAGAGCCCGCTTGCAATGCAGATCCCTGGTCATTAAACAGGCCATGGCAATTTCTTGGAAACTCAATCTCAAGAAGTCAATAAACCCCTTCCGAGGCCACTGCATCTGCATGCCGCAGGGACCTGTGAAACCTGGCCGCCAGGGTTCAATCGCGCGGTAGGTGTGAATCCCTTTGCGCACTGATTTTCTGTCGAAGGGGTTCGGCGATCACCTCAAAGCCACGTGTCCCCATTCCCCTGCCCCTTCCACGGCAAAGACACTGCTGGAAGCGTTTGAAGACAAACCCCTGCACTAGTTTTCGCCCGAACGCGGCGAAGGCGGCGCAGCGGGCAAATAGCCGACGCGCCGGCTATGCCATCTTCATGGGCCATGGGTTTCCGATCGGAGATCCTCTTCCCATCACTCCAACCTGGATGTCGGATGTCCGGAAAACATCCGGACGTCGATTTCGTCCTATGTACAAACCTGCACGCACCCGCTCTGCACAAAGATCGCTCAACAGAACCCTAGCTCCGTCCAAAGCTCTCAGTTCGATGCTTCACTAGACCTTCGTCGCGCACGCCTGCGCAGGTTTAAAAATGCAAGCAGAATCAGTCAGTGGTTCTCTTTGGCGCTTTGGCTTTTGCAGCCATGCCTCTCAACGGACCCGACAATCCTTCACGTGCAGATCCCAAGTCAATTGTGTGGAAGCGTGCACAATGAGGATTGCAAATCGCCCAAACATGTTGAAAGCAGCGCAAACAACCTGAAAAGCTTGTCAAGTTTCCCTGCGTAACAAATCCTGCACCTGCTGTGGATGGACACAAATCCTGCACCAGTCGGGATGGAACCCTGTAAATAAAGGGATATTTCACGTTTGGGTGGTGAAACCAACGACAAACCAAAAGGAAACAAAAACCCATCATTTTATTATTGTTTGTTTGTTTCGTCACATGATCAAAAAGCCTTTTATATGTGTATATATATATGGTACCGCGTTCCGTGTTGCTACCCCCCCCCCCCCCCCAGATGGCATGGGTCCCCAAGGCCCCCCTTCCGGCCCGAGACCCCGAGCCCCCAGATCTACGGTCCCACCCCCACCCCAACCCCCTGAACTCGGACCCCGACACCCCGGCACCCCCCGCCCAGGACAAGCCAACCCGCCCAACCCTAAACAAACCCTAAATACACCCTAAACCAAACCCTAAACCATAAACCCTAAACCTAAACCAACCCTAAACCAACCCTAAATCAACATAAACCAACCCTAAACTAACCCTAAATACACCCTAAACCAAACCCTAAACCTAAACCAACCCTAAACCAATCCTAAATCAACATAAACCAACCCTAAACTTTCACAAACCTTATCCAAGAGCTGACCTTGAAAACCAAATACCCTAAACCTACACCCTAAACCTAAACCAACCTTAAACCAATCCTAAATCAACAATGACCAAACCCTAAACTAACCCTAATAACACCCTAAAACCCAAACCAAAAACACATATACCTAAACCTAACCAAACCCTACAAACCAATCCTAAATCACATAAACCAACCCTAAACTACCCTCAACAATCACACCCTAAACCAAAACCCTAAACCACAAACCCAAAGCCTAAACGACCCTAAACCAATCCTAAATCAACATAAACCAACCCTAAACTAACCCTAAATACCAGCCCTAAACCAAAAACCCTAAACCATAAATCCCTAAACCTACACCAAATCCATAAATCAAACATCAACCCACCCATAAAAACTAACCTACATAACACCCTAAACCACACCAAAACCATAAACCCTAAAACCTAAAACCAACCCTAAACCAATCCTAAATCAACATAAACCAAACCCTAAAACTAAACCTAAATTGCACCCTAAACCAAACCCTAAACCATAAACCCTAAAACTAAACAAACCCTAAACCATAAAACCTAAACCTAACCAACCTAAACCAATCCTAAATCAACATAAAACAACCCTAAACTAACCCAAAATACACCCTAAACCAAACCCTAAACCATCAACCCTAAACCTAAACCAACCCTAAACCAATCCTAAATCAACATAAACCAACCCTAAACTAACCCTACATACACCCTAAACCAAACCCTAAACCATAAACCCTAAACCTAAACCAACCCTAAACCAATCCTAAATCAACATAAACCAACCCTAAACTAACCTTAAATACACCCTAAACCAAACCCTAAACAATAAACCCTAAACCTAAACCAACCCCAAAACCAACCCTAAATCAACATAAACCAACCCTAAACTAACCCTAAATACACCCTAAACCAAACCATAAACCCTAAACCTAAACCAACCCTCTCCCTCTGCCTCTCTCGCGCGATGGCCACTTAGAACGACCAGGGCGCTGGCAACGTGGTGCGCCCACTTCCTCTTGGCCTGAAAGAGCGAGCGCCGGCTCTTTCCCGGAAGAGAATGCCAAAAAACGAGGGCCGCGCCGCTTGCCCGCTGCCTCCTCCGCGGAGGAGAAGCGCAACCTGAATGGAAGCACAGAGCGACCCGGCACGTTACCTCGAGCGCGCGACAGCGCGCCTCACCACGTGTCCGGCGCTTGCGCCTCCGCCTGCCGAGTTGACGAGCTCAAGCTAGCGAGGGGGCCCGGCGCTGCCCGCCTCTGGGCCCGCGGTGCCAAAATTTGCACCTGTCAGGCAACAGAAAGCAAGGCCGCACCGCGGGCGCGACGCCGCCTGGGCCCACAGGGATAAGAACAGCAGCGGCGCAAGGGCGAGCATCACGGCGGGCGAGCGGCGGCTTAAAGTTCGGCTTAAGTTCTCAAAGTTCGTCACTTTGAAACTCGTCGCGTTTTGTTGAAATCGTGCCAGACTCGCGTTTTTCTCTCGCCAATGTCGCGCACGCGTTTGTCTTCGCAGGGTTTGCTATCTAAGTTGCTGGGCCGAAGCTCGCGACTAGCAATCATGGCTCTCAGCCTACTTGCATAGTCGATGTCTCGACTTGTTGAACATTCAGTTCACAGAGTGCTAGGCAGCAACAAGATTTCCGTTTTATCCACAATCTTCTTCCCTCGTTGCCATTGTTCTTGCTCAAAATTCTTTCTGCTCTAGCCTCAAACGAGTTCTCAGGGCTTGACCGGGTGCCCCGCGCGGGAAAGATTGCGCGGCTCGGCGTGATTTGTTTTCCCTGCCGCCGATCGCGCTCGAGGGCCAGGGCGCGCCCCTCGCTGTAAAAATGACAACCTCGAGTTCAAAGACCAGGGCAGCTCCCCCTACAAGAGCAAAGCGATTCGCTGTTTTAGCTCTCCCTGAAAAGCGAAGATTTTTTCTTGGGCGCCAAGCTGTGTTGGCGGATACACCCTAAACCAAACCCTAAACCAAACCCTAAACCATAAACCCTAAACCTAAACCAACCCTAAACCAATCCTAAATCAACATAAACCAACCCTAAACTAACCCTAAATACACCCTAAACCAAACCCTAAACCATAAACCCTAAACCTAAACCAACCCTAAACCAATCCTAAATCAACATAAACCAACCCTAAACTAACCCTAAATACACCCTAAACCAAACCCTAAACCATCAACCCTAAACCATGAACCCTAAACCAATCCTAAATCAACATATACCAACCCTAAACTAACCCTAAATACACCCTAAACCAAACCCTAAACCATAAACCCTAAACCTAAACCAACCCTAAACCAATCCTAAATCAACATAAACCAACGCTAAGCTAACCCTAAATACACCCTAAACCAAACCCTAAACCTAAAACCATAAACCCTAAAAAACCCATCCTAAATCAACATAAACTCAAACCCTAAGTCTAACCTTGAAAATACACCCTAACAAACCACTCTAAACCAGAACCCTAAACCAATCCTAATTCAACATAAACCAACCCCCTAACGAACTAACCCTATATACCACCCTAACAAACCAAAAACCCTAAACCATCAACCCTAAACCTAAACCAAACCTAAACCAATCCTAAATCAACATAAACCAACCCTAAACTAACCCTACATACACCCTAAACCAAACCCTAAACCATAAACCCTAAACCTAAACCAACCCTAAACCAATCCTAAATCAACATAAACCAACCCTAAACTAACCCTAAATATACCCTAAACCAAACCCTAAACCATCAAACCTAAACCTAAACCAACCCTAAACCAATCCTAAATCAACATAAACCAAACCCTAAACCATAAACCCTAAACCTAAACCAACCCTAAACCAATCCTAAATCAACATGAACCAACCCTAAACTAACCCTAAATACACCCTAAACCAAACCCTAAACCGTAAACCCTAAACCTAAACCAACCCTAAACCAATCCTAAATCAACATAAACCAACCCTAAACTAACCCTAAATACACCCTAAACCAAACCCTAAACCATAAACCCTAAACCTAAACCAACCCTAAACCAATCCTAAATCAACATAAACCAACCCTAAACTAACCCTACATACACCCTAAACCAAACCCTAAACCATAAACCCTAAACCTAAACCAACCCTAAACCAACCCTAAATCAACATAAACCAACCCTAAACTAACCCTACATACACCCTAAACCAAACCCTAAACCATAAACCCTAAACCTAAACCAACCCTAAACCAATCCTAAATCAACATAAACCAACCCTAAACTAACCCTAAATACACCCTAAACCAAACCCTAAACCATCAACCCTAAACCTAAACCAACCCTAAACCAATCCTAAATCAACATAAACCAACCCTAAACTAACCCTACATACACCCTAAACCAAACCCTAAGCCATAAACCCTAAACCTAAACCAACCCTAAACCAATCCTAAATCAACATGAACCAACCCTAAACTAACCTTAAATACACCCTAAACCAAACCCTAAACAATAAACCCTAAACCTAAACCAACCCTAAACCAATCCTAAATCAACATAAACCAACCCTAAACTACCTAAACCCTAAACTAACCCTAAATACACCCTAAACCAAACCCTAAACCATAAACCCTAAACCTAAACCAACCCTCTCTCTCTCCCTCTCTCGCGCGATGGCCACTTAGAACGACCAGGGCGCTGGCAACGTGGTGCGCCCACTTCCTCTTGGCCTGAAAGAGCGAGCGCCGGCTCTTTCCCGGAAGAGAATGCAAAAA